CCTCAGCAAGCACCTCAGCTGGCTGTGGTTTTTTGCCTGGTGGGTTGACCCAGACCTTCATTCCTGAGGGGTTTGGGTCATTATAAGTCCTGTCAGGACTGGGTTGTTGTAATTTACCATTTACTTTAATCACAGGGCATGGTAGCACTAAGAGTTGGCCTATGGGATCTCCTGGATTCCAGATATGTCAGCTGAGGTCTCCTACATCCTCCTCACCACTGATTTGGATCACTTGTTGCTCCCTTGTCCCTGGGTTTGTTAACACCACTTCCTTTCACCCCATCTCCTTAACTTTTTGGGATGTTTTTCTTTGTTTCATTTGCAGCTTTCTCTATTTTTCCTTCAACCCATTGTAGATACTTAAAGTTCATCCTTTTGGATTTTGTATCAGGTAGTTCCAATGGTATTTCTTCTTCAGACTTATTTTCTGGTGATGCATTTTGGTCACGTTTAGAACCATTTCCTCCTGTTTATTCATAGGCACTGATTTCTGTTGTCTCTGAGACATTGTAGTAGTGTTGTAGTAGTATTTATTTGATGATTGTATGTTGGTGAAACCATACCAGACCCCACATGTCTTCCAGTGGTTGTGATAGAGAATATGACGTGTGGGCAGTTCTCTTTTTGCTGTTCACTCCTGCCGTTGAGTGCAGGTTCTTATGATTTTGGCCACTATCTATTGACTATCAGGTGATACAAGAGTAGGCGGTCGCTTTCTCCTGGTGCTTGGAGTCACAGAGGTATAGGTGTGGCTGGACTATGTGGGCACAGTTCTTTACTGTTCCATGGGACAAGATAAAAAGGAACATAAAAGGAAAAGAAAGTAAACAAGGCATAAAACAAAACAGAAGCAATAGCAAAAAAAGAAGTGGGCAAAAGCAGGAAAGCAATAGTAAGTAAAAGGAATTTAATAACTTAACGAGAAGGGGGAAAAAAAGAAAAAGGAAATGAAAGTAATTAAAGAAGAGAAAAAAGTTACAAAATTAGGGTGGAGGAAACAAAATAGTAAAGAGAATAGTCAAAGAAAAAATTAAGAGGAAAGAAAAAAGAAGGAAGTGGGGTGGGGGAAGAAGAGAAAATGTAGAAAAAAAGCTTAAAGAAAAGAAGAGAAGGGAAAGCAAAGGAAAAACTGGGGCAGAGTGGGACAGGGAAAACCAGAGGTGAGGTGCACAGTTCGCGTTCTCTACCAAGCAAGGAACTCACAGTGTTGTTGGGGGTGGGCAAGGGTGGGGTAGGGCCCCTGAGCCTAGATGGTTGGTGGTGGGTGGGGTGGGCATACTGGCCAATGAGTAAAGATGTGGGGCCGGCCACATTTCTGGTCCCCAAGAGGGTTTGAGGAACAAGGGCAGACATATCACTCATCTACTAATGTGTGTCTAAGTTCTCCCAATTGAATGCTGCTGATTTCAAAAGTTTAAGATTACTTCACTGTGTCAGGCTAACCAATAATTCACCTGCTTCATTCGTCTCCTCTCGTTGTTGCTCTAGCATAGCTTCCTCTCACAGTCAGTATTCAATCCCCTTTTACCCTTTCTTCTGAAGCTGAGCTTATCATCCGAATCCGTTTTATTTGGTCTCTTGTATCTTTGCTGAGAGCATCTGGATAGCATGTCTGCCTCCTCGGCCGTCTTGATTGCTTGGAGTCTTTAAAAAAACCTATCTTCCTAGCTTTATAAATAGCAAATGCACACAGAAGCTAAAGGAGGGAGTGGGTAGATTATCACAAGAAGGAAGGAGAGACGATAGAGGGACTGGACATGATGAGAGTAAAGGTTTTATAATGCTAGGAATATGTATTTTTAAAATTGATCATTTTGGAGTATTTCAGAATCTTCCATTGGAAGTACAGATTAAGAGCTCTTCTATTTTACAACTAAAGATTTTATACTCTCTATCTTAATCAAAATTAACACCATTAAAAAGATATTTTACTTCCATTATCATAGAGCAACATTAAAGTAAGACCAAAAGAGGCTTACTGAGGGGTAGAGATGGCCCAGACTTGCAGATGTCCACATTCACAGTCAAGATACACTCTCTGCCACACAGTGAAGAAAGAATTATACAATAATGTATAATGATAGCAGGAATTGAAACTTTGAAAATCATAATAGATTAAAAGATATTCAGGTGTCACTGGTAGGCTATTTAAAAGTGGGGACTCAGCAGGGATAGGTGGATAATATATGAGTGAATTTATGTTAGACGATTGGCTAACTGCACATTATTGCAAGCCTTTGTACTCTTCAGTTTGCTACAGGATTTTCTTCAGGTAACCTGCTACAAAAATTGCTTTCTCAGGCCTGTCTATTTATCAGTAATGGTGTGAATCAAGATCTGCGGTGTAAGTGATCACACGGTGCGTCAGGTGGACCGTAGTGGAAAGGCCCTCTAGGTGTAGATTGT